AAAACCCCCTTTGGAAAAAAAAAAAAAAAAAAAAAAAAGCCCCTCAAAAACAAAAGACGAAAAAAGCGTTTCGGGAGTCTGAGCGTTTCCCGCGTCGATCGCAAAGGCTTCTTTTGTCCGTCGCCGCCGCCGCCTCTCGTGGGCTCGTCGAGTCTTTGGCTTCCTTGATGCGTCCTGTCTCTTTTTTTTCCGTTGTTTTGTTGAGTGCGATGATGATAAGCTTACAGGGCTGCGCAAAGTCAACGGAACAAGCGAACCGAAATGACAGTCGGCCATTTTTTTTTTTTTTCTGTGTGTCTGTGATTAAAAAGGAGCCACCCCCCCGCCGCCGCCGCCCGCTCCCCCGCCGCCCCGGTCCGTTTTCTCAGGCCATTTCTTTTATTCTGCGCATGTAGTCGTGCAGTTCCTCGGGGTCCTGGAAGCCCATGTCCCGACACACCCACTGGATGTCCTCCTCGTCGGCGACGGGGACGGAGTTGTAGGGCAGGTCGTCGGCGGGCAGCGTGGCGAAGGTGGTGAACTTGACCCGCTTGCGCTTGGACGTGGGCGAGCTGGCCTCCTCGCCGCTCTCCTTGGCCGAGCCGCCCGAGCTGCCGTCGCCGCGGCCGTGCACCTGGCTCTGCACGCTGGTCTGCGAGCTGCCGCTGCTGTGGTGGTCGCCGTGGCAGCAGGTCTGGACGCCCTCCGGCGGGTCGGAGGGGCTGTCGGCCTGCCGCGCCGACAGCTCGCACTGGGCTCTCAGCGGCTGGCCGTTGCCCAGGAAGACCCAGTGGTGTGAGTGGTCCATGTTGACCTGGCCCTCGGGCGGGATGCGCTTGTGGCGGTACTTGAGCACAAAGACGATGCAGTTGATGAGAAAGACCAGGATGGCCAGGCAGAAGACCCCCAGGAGGGCGTACATGCCGATCTCCAGGTCGGTCATGTTGCGGGGCGAGTGCGTAAAGTCGTCTTCCTCCTCCTCGTCGCGCTCCTCGCCCTCCCCCGCGTCCGTTTGGGTGGGCCGCACCCCGTTGCCCACGGTGGGCAGGTTGGTGTAGTCGATGGGAACGCTGGCCGGCTGCTCGTTGGACGTCTCGTAGAGCCGCCCGTCCGGGTCGGGCCCGGCCGGCGCCGGCCCCCCGGTGACGGCCGGTGACTCGGCCTCGCCCTCGGCGACGGCCTCTTCGTCCCACTCGTCGTCCTCCTCGGGGCCGAAGCGGACCCTGACGTAGACGGCGGCCGAGGCGATGACGCTCTTGCGTTTGGTTTTCTGGCAGGCCTCGCCGATGGTCATCTCCACGCGCAGCAGCTCGCCCTCGCCCTCGCCCTCCGCCACCACCACGGGCCAACGCTGCTGCGGCTCCTGCGACACCGAGACCACCTTGTCGTCCAGCGCCGAGGCGTTGAAGTTGTAGTCCTTGGGATCGAAGTAGGTCAGCGAGGCCGCCGTGTTGTCGCTGAAAAGCATCCATACCGACAAGCTGGCCTCCTGTCGGGAAAGCGCGCACACAAACGCGGGAGGGTAAAACCGGAGCCGCGACAGTACGACAATGATGAATCGATCGTCAAATCAAGTCCACCGTGACTCTTGATCGTCTTTCAATCCTTGAGGGAGCTAAAATGCTCCAAGTCCTCGGAATTTCAGCCTCTCTGCAATTTCTACGCAGTCATTTTGAGAAAAATGTCCCGTTTTTGAACACAAGTTTGGAAAGTAAAATACATCGCTAGCTGCGTGCGCAGACAAAACCGAGAGATTCGAGCCGGGTGGCGTTGGCAAGTCTGCGTGTGAGTGTCCAGGCGTGAGCCGTGGCCAACAGCAGTTTTGCGCGAGGCGGCCATCAGACCGTTTCTGCTCTTGCGACCCCATCGACCCGAAACGGACGTTCCCTCGGGCTCGCGTTGCGAACGTCAAGGCGCCACTTTTCTTTGGGAGGAAGCGTTTCAAACTCGGGACACGTTTTAATCTCGTCGAGATTGGGTCGATGATGTCTGTTGCCACGGCGACAAAACGTTTGAACGCCGACTTGCCTCGCTCACCTTCAAGACATAAAAGAGAGCCTCTCCCGAGTTTTGGAATAAAACGCGCGTGGTGACGCCGCGGCGCAGCCTCAGGTGAGGGACCACTGTCACCACATGGGGGGGGGCTGGGGGGGTGTTTTGACAGCCCCCCCTCCCAACATCTGCACGTGTTGTCATAAGAATAAATAAAAAAAAAAAAGAACCTCCGCATGTGATCAATAAATATAACTGACAGGCATGAAAAATAGCGTGTGGCAAAACGTGAGAGGGGACCTTGATGTTTCTTGCACTCACTTCAAGCGTGATGGAGGACGACGGAAAAGTTTCCCGGCAAATCAAAACGGCCTGAAATAGCCGACTGAATCCTTAGAGAGGGGACCCCCCCCCCCCCCTTCCCGCCACCCTGACTTTTATCGCTCTTCACCCCGCCTTCTTTGAAATCTTTTTGGAGTTTTTAGCCAAAAACTTCCAAAGGATGACTTTTATCCGTGTTCTTACGATATTTCTTTGACCTCATTCAACGATGCATACCTGCTTGGGGGCGCCGAGCGTCTGGAGGCCGGTGGCCTTGGCGACCAAGGTGTGGCTGTTGCCGGGGCTGGGCCGCAGCGCCAGGCTCAACCCCGACACGGCGTGGACGCGCAGCTGGCTGATGGAAACTTTGTCGTCCGTGACGGCGAAGGCCGCCTGGCCCAGCGCCGCGTCCACGGCCAGAGGCGAGTCCACCTGCGGCGACGGCAAACAACTTTAGCGTTGCGCAAAGTTATCCGAGGGGAGACTGCGGGCGCGAAGTCCAACCTTTAAAACGGTGGATCCCAGCTCCAGGCCGACCAGGACCGTCCTGTCCACCAGCTCGGCCACGCGGGGGTCGGCCACCTTGAGCGAGTCCTGCACCAGGTCGGTGACGTCCACCTGCCAGTCGGGCCCCAGCATGGTGATGACCTGGTCGGTGCCCTCGCTGGACGTGGTGTGGAACTGCGTCAGGACTTTGACCAGCGCCCGCTGGTACTGCAGCGTACAGCCTCGGCTCACCCGCCGATCGTCCTCGTCCTCCTCGCCGTCGCTGTCCCTGGTGCTCCTGGGGGGGGGGGGGGGGGGAATCAAGAGGGCCTCGTAGCATTTAGGGCTCGGGGTTGCCTGTCGCGGAAAAACGTCAAGTGGGACCGAACTATAACTTGAGCCGTGGGTCCGAGTACTGCCCGAATTGGCCTCAGGAGTTCTAAATTCCAATTTTTGACCAACAGTCAAAGACAAAGGGGGTCTCCGTCGGCCTCCCATATCCGCCCGTGAACTACTACTTGGGGTACCGGGAGGTCCAGGGTCGCACTATGATGGCCATCTTGTCAACTTATGTTTGAAGGCTGAAGCACGAGCCAAAACTGTCAGCCAGGTGAGAGTTTTTCTCTTCACCACACCCCCCACCCCAAAGGGAGTGATGACATCATAGGAGGGGGAGAAAGTCGCCGCGGCGAGCAGCACCAGGCCCGTTTAACCCCCGCTTTGACCAAACAGGGCCCGCATCCAAAAAGCAGCTGCTTATCGTTGAGGCACCACTGCCAGCCCCCCCCCCCCTTCTCCTCCCCAACATCAAGACGGGATAATGCGACGGTGGAAGAGTGCCGAGCGAGCGTCTCATCAGCGTGATGATGACAAATTGTGAGCGCGGCCCCTTAAGAACAGCTGGCGCCCGGCGCACGTCTCGGCGTTTGGCAGCAGCTGCCCACTTTCAAGACGGCACAAGTTGGTGGCGCGACGTTGGGGCCCGACTCGGAGAGAGCCGTGTTTGCAGCATCGCTGATGTTTCTTAATAGCCATTGATGACATCATCAGTGACTTTTTTTTTTTCTCCTCGGTACCATTTCCGACTAAATCCATAACGGCCACATCTCAAATGAATTGATGCCATCCTTGCCGATCCGTTTACAGTCGGCCTGCGCGCCCGACTGTCGTCTGGGGTTTGTTTGGCGTCTGGCGCCGTTCGAACAGGAGCCCGCGGGACACGGCTCGCCACCGTGCGCTCAGGTAAGCGAGTCTGGTGGACGGCGGCGGTGAGTCATTCACTTCAAAACGCGGGCGGCCGAGGTAAAGCGCGGCCAGACGCCGAGGCGCTTTGGCTCCGCGCGAGACGTCCGCCTCTTTTGGGCTCGGCCTGAGATTGTTGCCGGGCCAGATGAAAACTGTCTCATCCGATTATTGTCTGGCTGACTGTCACAAAGAGACACTGCGGGCCGGGAGACTTCATTGTTGTTGCTGCTGCCGGAGTGAGTGAAGGTCCGCCGTGCGGCAAGTCAAGTCATGGCGGGGGAAGAGACGGACGGGACTGGAGGCGGGGCAGAACAATCTGAGCGAAAATGCAATTGATTACTGTGCGGTGTTACCCCATCAAGAGCGAACATCCACATGGAATGAACCCCCCCCCCCTCGAAAAAAAATTAATAAATAATAGATAGATATATGCACACGCATGTGAGCTCGCTAGTTTTCCTGCTTTTATGAATTTGTTGTTGTAATATTACGACACCCCCCCTGTCGTAAAAATGATTCGCTTGAGCAAGTCTTCCTTTCAATTCTGGCGTGATTTTATACGACAGCCTCCCATTTTGCGACTGCCAGAGTGAGAAGAAACATTAGGGAAGACGATAAAAAGTGTGTTTAAACGCATCTATGAAAAAAAAAATTAATAAATAAAATACCGGTATTATTACTGTGTGTGTGTGTTTTTTTTGTTTTTTTTTTTAATAGGGGCTCTCTATTTCGCAGCTATCAGCCGTGTTTCTGGAGCGCATCCTCCGTGAACAAACAGAGGTTCAGTAAATGAACATGTTAGTGGGAATATTTTTCAAAAAAAGGCACTGAGTGTCATTTGAAGTCTCCCACTCGTCCCTACGCGAGCGCTTTAAAGGCGTCGTTTGTATTCCGCGTGCGTCGGGAGTATTTTGGGGTGGATGGTGATGAACTCCGGCGGCGAGGACGCCAGCCAGGCCAAGCGCCGGCACGCTCTTAATACCGCCATTAAACATCTCCGAAATGATGTGTTGCGGGCCTGTTTGTTAGCGCGCCACAAATGACTGGCATGCCCAAAACACCTTCGCGGAACTCCCCTGACGCCCATTTGCCAGTCGAGCGACGCCCTTAAAAATGAAATTCGGAACATTAGAACAAAAAGAATTGGGGAAATTTTGTGTCTATCCACAACACTCAAAAGCACTCTGCAGTGTAGTCATTGATGGAGGGGGAAGGGGCGGAGCTATAGCGTGGTCATATCGAAGTTCTCTTCTTGTAATGCACTAGTCCACCATAGAGGGCGACAGAACTCAGTCAAGTTTCAATCTCCCATTGGACGCCATGATGAAGCGGCGTAGCTTTCAGTCAGTCGTGCTACTGTAAGATAAATAGCCCAAGCGTGTCGCGCCGCCTTTGTGTGCACTTTGCTAAGAAAAAACAAAAACACATTTGATCTCTAAACGTTCGTGTTTTAAAAACTAGCTGGAAAAAAAAAATGTAGCGACATGAAATGAAATTGTCATTGAGACAAAACACGCACGACTCAACAGCTGCAATTGTTCCGGAGCAAAGCGCCCATCCCCCCCCCCCCCCCCCCCCCCCTCGCCGAGGTGCGAAAAGCACTTGTTTGTTCTGAGAAGCCTCGAGTACACATCCTCACGGCGCTAATCAAGGCTCCGGCTCGGCCTCGTCGGCTAAATGCGTCGGGAGGGCTCTGACGCGAACATGACAAAGCGGATCAAATCGCACCTAAGAGCCTCGTTTGGCGAAGCTACGGCTGCGCGGCGCGCGCCGTCTAATTGCAACAAAACAAGCCCAGAAAAACATTCAAAAAAAAAAAACACTCCTACTTTTCACTTCCAAGTATTTTTGACCAACAGGTTCAATACTATTTGGATAATGAGTGCGATGGAAATAAAGACCTGAGGAAAAAGAATTGTGAAGGTCGAGAACCCTCGAAATGTTATAAATAGCTCATGCGCTGTAAAACCGTGATAAGACGATGGCTGCCATTGTTCACGTGCTAACCGGTAACCACCAACATCATCTTCAGCTTGTCGCGGCAACACAAGCAAAGCAAATTTAATGAAGTTTCATCTGCGGGTGGGTGAGTGCCGATAGCAACGATCGTAGCGGTCCCAGACAGGATTTGTTTCAAGCTTTTCGGCTACTCGTGAAGGCTGCCGATACCAGTGACCGATAATTAGGGCCAGATAATATGACACAAAGTCTTGAGACCGTTCTGGAGACCAAGATCGATTTTGAGAACTGCAAAATGTTTTTGTTTTTTTTTTTTTTCTCCCCAATTGCAGTGGTCCTCATTTTGCTGGTTTTCATGAACAAAATGGCGCCTCACCTGCGGTCGGGCAGGATGGGGACCCGCCAGCCCTTGATGAAGCTCAGGTTGTCGTCGGACAGTTCCACCCGCAAGGGCAGCTTGGGTACCCAGACGGTGAGTTCCAGGGGTGCGCTCAGGTGCTCGTAGCTGAAGATGACCCTGGCGTTCATGGAGCCTCGCGTCTCCTTGCCGTTGACAAACACGTAGTCGCAATTCATGGAGACCTGCCACACAAAGAGCGGGGAAAGGTCAAGGTAAGGAGCGCGACTCTATATGGGAACGGTCGCCTCAGCAGCGGGTGGGGGAGGGGGGGTGGGGGGCAGGCCACAGGTGATGATATACGGAGCGAGCACGTATGTTGCTGTCAATCTCATCGTTTATTTGCTGTTCCAAGGCTGAGTCTTGGGGCACGGAAAATATACGACAAGGGGCAAAAATTAGCCAAGAGCAGCACAGAAATCGAACAAGCGACGCAAAGCACCTGCGACGAGCTCATAGCATCGACGTGTCACGGTCTTATAACTCTTTAAGCGGGAAATATAATGTTGCTCACGGGCAGATGTTCTTTGTCCTCTGCGAAGATCGATTACCATGATTACAGCTCACAAAAGAAACCAAGAAGCAGTCTGAAGGTGCCATACAGCCATTTTGGTTCAAATTCCAGGTCTCCAATGTGTACTATGTACGGGACAATTGCAAAGACGAACTGAGCATTGAAGGGTAAAAAAAAAAAAAAAGAAAAATCCCCATGTGGATCAACACCATTCCTATGTGGAAAGTGTCACAATCTCAAATGATTTCCTTGCTCAACAGCGCTTTGCCCCCACCCCGTCCCGTTGACTGGAAATCCATCAAATCACTTCTCGCGCCGTAAACTAACTCGCAAGCGGCAGTGACAACGTAAGCTCCTTGGCGGAGGTACTGCGGCTCTCCGTATGGGCTAACAGGGTAATAAAAGCCGCGCTTGTCCTCAAGGTCGTGCGAGGCGGGACGGATCGTAAGAGTTTACAGGGCGAAACCGTGATATTGGGCGTGGGGTGTCACTTTCTCGCCTGCCTCTGTTGTCTTGTATGCAAACCATTTTGAATCGACACCACCAGGAGCGGAAAATGGGAAGGACGGGTGATATGCAGATGAGGCTGTCTACCGGTTTTCAAAAAAAAAAAAAAAAAAAGAATCCACAGACAAGAACAGGTGTTGCGGCACGTCGGAAGGGTCTCGCTGACATCATTCATCATTTTTCAGTATCCATTAAAGCCGCAAGCAAGCGAGCCGTGCGATATTGAGCGTGCTTGCTTGGCTAACCGTGCCTCTGCTAATTTAATGCCGGGACTTCAGGCGCGGGAAATACACTTGACGGTTCCGAGGTCATTGATCGAGGCCAGAAGAATGAATGCGGGGAAGCTCTGGGAGGGGGTCCGCGCCATTCGAGGGATCTGATGATCTGATCTTTTTCATACAAAGGACTCAAAGTTCCTCGAGCGTGAGATGGAAATGCTCCTGTGGTTGCATAATGGCAAAATAAACAACCAATTATTATTATTATTATTTTTTTTTTACAATAATATCTTCTATGCGCCTTCCCTAGACCAAACATGACATTCTGACGAATATTGTGTTTGTGGACTCGGAATTAACAACAAAATCCCGCCGTTTTTGTCCATCTCAGGCGCCGGCCATTTTGCCACTTGCTGTCGACTGAAAATGACAACAGAGTTGCTCGTGGAACAATCAGTCGTGGGTCAGCTTCAGAAAACAGTTGAGCCGTGATTGGTCGATACCTGAGCAACGGTGAGGCAAAATGGCTGGTTGACTTCCCCTTTAAGGTCCATCCTGAACACAAAGATGATCTCACGCTATCAGCGATTAGCATCCAGGAGGCAGGCGATGCACCATCATTTTGTGCCTCTGCCCATCTTCGGTTGAGTCAACAAACATCCCGGCCACCTGGATGCTAAAAATAGTCGTCACTTCTTCCATTCTTTGCTCCCGTTGTGTTGGCGCACATGATGTCAAACAGAAGATAAGGCCAACGCACGCCACCGCCGGCCCCCAACAGACGCCATGTGAAGGCGGGAGAGATAAGGCACTGTGGCATTCTGTCAACCGGGCACAGGGGAGAAGGGGGAAAAAAAAACAAAACAAACGGGATTACATAAAAAATTACTGTATGCAAAAAATTAATATTGATTTTTTTAAATTTAAAAATAATATTATTCTAATTGAAAGGAGTGAACACAAGTGCATTAAAAATGGAAAAAAAAATATAAATTAAAAAAAATGGGAGATTCAATTAGCCTGGCTTAAAAATGGGAAGACAAATTACAAATATTTTCAAATCGGGTATGATGAAATTAGAAATGAATACATATGTGAAATTAAAAAAAAAATTTAATGAGCAAAAATGTTTTAAAATTAAGGTAAAAATATACAATGTAATCGGGGAATAAATGTATTAATGTAATGAAAAAACAATTTTTTTCCCCACAAATCTTTAACAATTTTTTTTTTTTTAGGGGGTGGGGGTTTTCACGAAAAGCTGCTCAGTCAACAATTGTTACTTTAGTTGTCATTTACAGTATACCAGCCCGGTCCTTGTCACCCAGCGTGAAAAAACATAATGGAGAGAAATGAAAAATCTAAAAGGCAAAACAACGCCAAAAAAAAGAACAGAAGAAAATCTTGTCTCCAAATCTCCATTGCAGCCTGCCAAGGTCTGCTCAGGACAGCCGCGCCTCAAACAACTGCCGCTTGTGTTCGCCAGTGCCCAGATGCTGGCGCGCGTTAATTACCTGCTATCGCATAAGTGGATCGCGTACACACACGCACACGCACACGCACACACACACACACACACACACACACACACACACACTCACACACACACAATAATCTCCTTCAATTTGTATGGACGTGTCACAAATGAATGACATGCGGGAACAAGGAAGCGCCATCAGCTCTCCTCATATTTCGACGTTCTCTGATTAATTGCCAGCCCCAAGGCGGCGGGGGTTCGCTTTTTTTTTCTTCTTTCCCCTCCCTCTCTAGCGACAGCGTGTTAAATGGAATGAAAGCTGACACATGGCTCGGCATTAGCGGGCACAGTGTCGCCGCTAAGGAGCTTTCGTCGCTGTGATGGATGTGCGCTAAACGGATGCCAGCTAATTTAGCCGAGCTAGCCGTACTACACACACAGTTACACAGACATTAGCCTGTTGTTACTCAGATTAATGAGGCTAATGAGGATCTGAGGCCCGGAAAAAGGGAGGGGGGGGGGGGGAATGTAAAATGTAGCGAGATGGGGATACTGCTTGAGGAGCTTTGTTCCCATTCAGTCACAAAAGTCGTCGTGACAGCGGCCGCCAGCGTTTGGACGAGATTTTCCCAAAAGGTGTGAAAGTCGCAAGCGGGGAAGTCATTTTTTGGATGTTGATGGACATGGGGGGCCCAGAGGGTGGGGTCACGGGACTGCCTTGGACAAACCTTTATCTTGCATTAAAAAAATAAATAAATAAAAAAATCTGTCCCCAAAGCCAGTTGCACTGAGCATCCTGAAATTTGGTCAACACATCCGTCACAATGAGACCCACCAAAAAAGTCTGAAGGAACATTTCAGTCCGAAATTCAGCCCCCACACTCAGTCACACTTTGCAACATGAAATTCGGTGAGCAATGTGACCCACAAAAAAGCCTCAAGCAGCCATGCCCAAAGATGTATTGGAAGACTGCCATTTGTGGTTTGAAGCAGCCATTTTAGTGTCATCTTCACCATTTCTAAATGTCCTTAAAAGTATTTTAGAAAAGAAAAAAAAAAGATCAGCCGCTGACTGCAGTTGCACTTGACAAACTTGAATTGCAGCATGATATTTGGTAGTCCATCAAAAGTCGGCCCACCAAAAAAGTTTCAAAAGGTCATGGCCAGAAACACACAGGAAGTGTGCCATTTTGGTACTAAGTGAGCAAACTTGTCCTGCAGATGTTTGTGATTTTGTACATCCGGCACAAGATAAAATGGACGACGCACGACTGCGGAGCATTTTGGTTCGCGCCACCGCGCGTGAGCGAAGTCCGACAGAGTGAATGGCAATAAAGCATCGCTGGTTTGAAGGACAGACGCTTCTTCCTCCAGCCGTTAATGTAACGGCACGGATGCGTGTGAAAAAGGCCCTTGGGTGGCGTCGCCCTTATTAACCCCGCCACTTTTTCATCCGGCGTTAAATACGACACAATGTGACGCATCCCCGCCCGAGCAATCTGCCGGCACCGCGGCGGATGCCACAGCGCATTAGCGGCACTGCGGCGGAGTGTGCGTTGGGGGTGGGGGGGGGCACCTTGGCGAACGGAACACCCGCTGCAGTCGCTAACAGCTTTCGACTTGCAATTAGCGGGCCAAATTTATCAGCGGAGAATGGCTGCGGGAGCCCTGACGAGTATTGCAAGTGTCAGGGCCGGCCGGACTCCTTCATCAGACTGCGCGCGGGCGTTGCGGCGAATGACGTCGTCTCTTTGTCGCCGCCGTCCAAATACACCTCTGGAGACGGCTGCGGACAGAAGGTCGACTCCCTGCAAAATTGCATTAACCCGATGGAGAACGGAGATTTTCCACTTGGCGGAGAGGCGGGACACATGAGCCGGCAACCTGCCCCAGCCCAGCCCACGCCCTCTTTGCCGCACCGCACGTCGGAGAAGTCCAAAGTGGCCGGCCCCAACTCCATTTGGAGGAGATTACAATCTCTGATTACCTCCCGACCAAGACGGGAGCCCCAAAGCTCCGCCAGATCCATTTCAATTAATAATTTAGCGTTCAAAGGGAGGAGGAGTGGGGGGGGGGGTATTTATGATGATTCCAAAAGACGAGGCCTGCAAGTTAAAAATGGCGCCCTCGCCTTCTTTTTCTCGGCGTGACATCAAACTATTAGACGGCATAGGTAAAAAAAGGTAAGAAAATTTTATGGGGCGGAGTAGAAAAAAAAAAAAAAAAAAAAAAGCTTAGTCATTTAGTGGCGACCATTTTTTTGGTGGTGACCATTTTTGGGTGTCATCCCAGGCCAAAACGGCCGCTTCAAAACAAAACGTCAATTTCAATCATGGGCCCTTGAGACTTTTTTGTGCGGCCCGCTGTGATCAACATGTCCAACTAATTTCATGTTGACTGGCGAAAGCGGCTTTGGGCCCGAATTCTTCGAACTGTGGAGCAATGGAATTGGCCCCAAAATGGCTGCTTCCAAGCAAAATGGCCGACTTCCTGATATGATAGACCAATTGCACTTTCAATGTGGGCGTTTTAAAGGGATTGCGAGCCACCACTTCCAACACAAATCTCCCGGGGAAAGAGTGGCAAGATCTTTCCGCTATCGGGCAACGAGGCTGAAAAGTCAAAGTCTTGACGGTCAGGACGAGTCGCACGAGGCCTCCGCGTGCCCACTGAGCGGCACTCCTCTCCAGCGGCGTGGAACTAACTAAATTGGCAACCTTTACAAAAGAAGCGGAGCGATATGCCCCACGTAGGGAAAATCAATCCGGTTCTGCACTTGAAAGACACTTTGAAGATGAGGCGGGGGCGCGTCT